CACACACACACACACACACACACACACACACACACACACACACACACTGAGGTCCTTGTATTTAGAGATAAAAATACAATGAAAACTCTCGGGGAACCAGAACATCTCGGGAGAACAGACACGGCACAGCGGCATGCTGGGAAAGCAGATCAGTCCCCGTGAGCACAAAGACATCTGCTGTGTGTCTATAATTGACAGAAGTTCAATAGATTGTAAAGGAGAATGAAGAGGAGATTATGAGCTCATGCCTCGCTAAGAAACCTCAAGAGGTTACCACACGCGAGCTTCAAGGAAGCCGCTGCCTCATCAAAGACAGAGCGAGAACGAGCATCAGAAAAAGATTGCGTCAAATTGAAACACACATGAGCAGTTTCCTCTCGACTCTCCGTATCAATAAGATGTCCAGTGAACCATCAGAGCGCCCTGACTGCTCAGCCAGGGCCCAGAACGCCACCTACACATGCAAACATCCCTCACTCAGTGAATTGTGCTGCTAGGAGACACTGACAGATGTGCATTTGAACATTTGGTGTTTAGTGAGTCTCATTAAAGTTGTTTGTGTTGCTGTTTTTAGCACGCTTCCACTGAAGGGTCACTGTTTCAGGGATCAAAGCCAGGAGTTGAATCCACAGTAAGTAATGACCCACAGCATCCACATAAATGCCCTCAGAGTGTTCGTCTGTGTACAGTGGGCACATTATGTCTGTGCTATAGAACACTGCTAACTGTACGAGTGCTGAATAAACAAACTTATATGATCACTTACAGATCTCATCTGCTTTGATCACGTGACACATGCATGCATACTAAAGTGTTTTTACCAGCTGGAAACGTCCAGCTGGGAGCTCTTGGGAACACTTGGGAAGTGCAGGGTTTTTACAGCTGAGATATTGTGTATCATAGCAACTAAAGTATGTGTGAGATGTTACAAAGGGCCCTCAGTGACTGCGAGTTACCCGATGAACCCATGAAGAGTGAGACGTCCTTTAACCATCACTTTGTAAATGAATTCAGATAGTGGACCAGGTGATATCTGCAGGTGACTACACCAGGTGACTATACTGTGCATGGACAGTATCGTTTGATAATTTCACAAACTATACTGTCGCTGTCAACAATTATTCTAAATGTCATCATATAACTCAAAAGCAGCGTAGTGCAAAGCTGGGTTTGCACCAGTACTGTCCCTCAGTGATCCCACATTACTGTGGCAAAGCCTGAACTACAGAGCTGCATGTCTGCTGCATCAGACTGCTGCTGTTTCCTCTTGATAATAATAATCAGTAGGTTCTCTATTGGCTTCAGGTTAGGCAAGGTGGTTGGCCAATCAAGCACAGTCTCATGGTCAGCCAATCACTGGTAGTAGTTGTGGCACTTTGACCAGCTCGTCAGCAGAGGAATGCTCTAAACGTTCCTGGCAGATGGCTGCGCTGTCTTTGACTTTGATAAGACATAATGGACCAATCAGCATCAACGAAGCGCATGATACAGCATCTACAATCATCACAGACTGGAAACTGTACACTGCACAGCGCTCCCTCGTTTATCACGCGAGTTACGGTCTAAAAATAACCCACGATCATCAGCAAAGTCAGCTTTATTTTCTACAATTATTATAAAGTTTTAAGGCTGTAAAACCTCACTACACACTTTATACACTCAGACAGGCGTGAACATCTTCACACATTTGTCTCTTGTTTAAACTCTCTCAGAGTTCAAACATTCGTGGAAAAATAAGTCCAGTATTATATTATAATCTAAAACATACAGTAACTTCTAGGGCTGGGCCATATCATACCAGTAATATAATGTTGGGCAATGATAAGAAAATGAGATATCGCAATAGAATATGGGTAAAACGCGCATGTGCAGTGCCTTTGTTTTCATACGCACATGGCGGAAAAAGCATGGCGGCAACGCAGAACGAGAAGGGTGAAAGCAGATCGTTGAATGAAACAGATGAACCAGAGCTGGTTTGTAAAAATGCTGCAGCTTCACTGGTGTGGAACTGGTGTAGCTTTCGTCCGTCAGATACACAACAAAGCACATTTTTTGGTAGAGCGTGCTAGCGGGCCGTCGTTATTACCGAAACGATTTTATGTGCACGGCGCTCGAAAAGCCGTCAGATGTTTCAGTGCGACTTTGCTAAGCTACGAAGCCGCACCGCTTGATGGATTGTCGGAGCATTACAGCTGTCGTAGGCGGAGCCTCGCGGAGTGATACGTGCTGTGCTTCAACATAATATTACCGTATTGTGTGTGTATAACCTCTTTTTAAGTTTTGTGGATATTATACATGTTATGCTGAGGATATGTCGGCCAGTTTCCACTGGAAATGCCTTTTGGTTAAACTGGAATTTGCATTTGCACTGTTACATTTTTATATAACTTTAATGCACATTAAAAACAGCTGCTTGTTTAAGTGAAAATACATTGATTTTTTTTTTTTGCACTAATAAAGTTGTGGAGTTGTAAAGTATTTTGTTTCACGTAAATTATATCGTCAGTTATATCGTTATCGCAACTTTTAAATATATATCGCGATAAATATTTTTGGCCATATTGCCCTGCCCTAGTAACTTCTACCTTCCTTTAGCATCTTGCTCTGCCTTTGGGTGCTACCACAGGAGCCTTTGATGGTGCAAAACGTTTCATCGACGTTGTTGTGTTTGTTGGGGAGAAAACGTACAAACATACAGTGCAGCAGAGTCACACTGCTGGGATCGAAGATTTATGTAAATTTGACAAGCTGAACGCACTCTGTGCTGTACAGGAGACACAGCACGAGACTGATTGACTATGGTCTACAGCCAATCGGGACGCAGAACACATGTGCTGTAAAAAAAAAAAAAACCCTGCAAAATCGACAAAAATAATCTGCAAAAGAGCAAAGCTGTGAAAGGTGAACCGTGTTATAGCGAGGGGCTGCTGTACTTCAAAGAATCTTCCTCCACCGGGGACAATACGGCACAACTGCGCTCTACACAACCGCACAAACAGCACTCTGCTGGACACAGACATGATCCTACCTGAAACATGAAATGACCTTTAAATCCAAATGAGGCTCAACTGTAAGTGAAAACCTCTCTTAGTATCAGAGATTTATTCTTCCATGGCGTTGAAAGCAAACGAGCAGCTCAGCTCTCCAAATAACAACGTCGTCTGTAGGTTCTCCACACGAACACAAGCGCGTGTTGGGCACTTTTCATGTTTGCAATGTCTAAAAACGCAAAAGATTTATAAGATTTGTGAATCTGATCTTGGTGCAGTGCTGCGCTGACGAGCGGTGCTGTCTAAGTGGGTCACACACACAACGGTTTCTACTCCAGAAATCCACAGGCTGTGTTCAAAGCTACTCATTACTTTGATGGTAGATGACTGGAGTCATCAAACCAAACTGCTGTCGTACATAGTAATGAACCGTTTGCCTCGGCTGCTGGAGGTCGAGGCCTGTGTGCCAATCAGGCCCGTAACAATGACACGACTTTGACACTCATTACATGTGCCCTGCAATTTGATACAAGGACGACATATGCAATATTGCAGAATCTCACAGCATCTAAAAAACTGTAGAATTTATTATATAAAATTATTTGTATAATAGTTTCTAATAAACTCCTTTCATGCTTTGGCTGGATTTCACCTTTAGCTTCAATATCCACAGCTCTTTAAGCTGCCTCATCATTACTGTCTTACATCCACAGCGATATGCTAATCTGATTCTCTGGTAGTTTTGGAGAAGCAAACAGGATCAGCTGGTCCTGGATCAGCTGGTCCTGGATCAGCCGGTCCTGGATCAGGGAGCTGCCTACATGCTCCCGGTTTGTCTCACGGGTTAAGTTCTCACTTCTTCCAACTGCGATTTCTGTCCGAGTTCACAAAAAAACAGATGAATTTGCTGCTAAACACATTTTAGTAAGAGTAGTTCCCACTGAGTATCCCATGTGATTATGGATCACACGCGTCGTGTACAGGAACATCTGTGTTAATACAGCCTTTTATATTTGTTCATTACAGCTTAATGGCAGCTTCTGCTCCACAGCAGTCGTTACACATGTAGGACGGGCAAAGTACGTGACATTTTTTGGAGCAGGTACAAGCGAAGGCAGAAAAAGCAGCTCTCCAACACTCAAACACCCCAGAAGACAACACCTAGGACGGAGCAGCATTCCCAGAATAGAAGCTGTGGGTAGTTTTCACAGTTCACAGCCAGTATGTGTTACTCAAATGCGTTACTTCATCAATCAAACTCAGGCCTGCTTCAAAATGTAAACCACAACAGTTCTTCCGAAACAGCAGAGGATATAAAAGTGTAACATTACCTCTGTCCTCCGTGTCCAAACTAACACTGAGAGGCGATGGCTTTGGAGAAAAACTAGCTCTGATCCAGCAACCGGGGCAGAGACAGGAAGAAAGAAAAGGATGACGAAGTGAAAAAGAACGGGCGAGGAAGAGCAACAGAGTGCGGTTTCCTCCTGTGGTAAGAAGAGACAGATGGCCAAGAGGGAGAGAGCAGAGCGGAGGACTAGCTACACAGCCGACATTTTAACTGCTGCTGACGCAAGGAGGGAGAGAGATGAGAGGGAGGGAGGGAGGGAGGGACAGAGGCAGGGCCGGCTGACACACACTTCCTCTCTCGCTCTCTCTGTGTGACGCAGGACCGTCCTATTTCCTCACAGCGCTCTTTGACTGAGCGTCTTTCACTTTCTCCCCTCGCCTTTCAGATTGTTCCCTCGCCACTGACCCGCCTCACTTCTGCTCCTCCACTTCCTTCCCCTTCAGCTCCGTTCAACACAAGTTTACTGACAATCGTGTGTTTACAAAATGACAACATAGCAGGAAGGAGACAATACTACGAGTGCCATTACTCCTGCTATTATTAGCAACTCCATACAGTATTATTAGCAGGCGGCTACATTCACCAGATGCTGGCAAAATGTTGCCCAGCATCGAGTCACTGTAGCAGGTCTAACGTGTAGGAAAGTGCCTGGTGGTGCTCAGAGGAGACAGCAGCAACTACCCTGTTACCTTCCCTCCCTCAGGGCTGCTTAATATTTGAGCTTATAATTTATTTCTCACATACACATTAGGCAAAACGACAGCTGCCAAATGTGCCACTGATCTACAGTATTCATGTAGACCAACCAGCATTTAGAAAATGGGCTTTTTTGGCCTTCCTGCCTGTGTACACAGCCAGGTGATTTAAACAAGATGTGACTGTACGAGTTTACTTGAACTCTTTAATGATTACAGTGTTTCTTACATTTTAAATGACTCCATTTCTCCTTATATACACAAGACTAAATCAATAAAATACAGTTATCCAGTGTTCAATGATGAAACTACAACAGACGATCTACCAGCAGAGGCAGCAGCCAGCCTCATTCGTCCCTCTGTGCTGAGAAACCTGATTGGAGTGTTTGAAAAGCCTCATTTAGTCAAAGTAAGCAATCAGCTGTTCAGTGACGATTGCTTCTAAAACCCTGGAGAGAAAGTGATGTTTAGAAATGGGACCACAATTATCCAAAGAATGAGGGTCAAAGAGGTTGCTTTTATTAAATAGGTTGCATGACTGCACTATTTAAAACAAAACAAGGACAGAATAGATGAAACACTACCTTTCTGCAGGAGGAGCGATTAACTCTATGAAAATGTCCCTAAACTTTATCAACTCAGATAGTCAGTTATCTCAGTGTCTATGGAGCAAAAAACAACCACTGATAAGGAAAGAAACCCTACAGCTACCTCAGACAATCAGTGGCCAGTCCCTTCCAAACTTTCTACACCATTACTGGGCAGCAAATATTCGGCCATTGCTTTACTGGATGAATGGAGCCAGATGCGGTTGGGTGGCTCAACTAAACAAACTTGTCTTGCAGCTCTACAGGTTATTCATTCATTTCTAATCTGGAATCAATTCAAAAGAGCCTTTAATCTTCCTGAGCTGTGGCTTGCTGCTCCAATAAGGAAAGCCCACCTGTTTACACCGTCAGTTAGACACAAAGCATTGACGGCTGGCTGGAGTCAATGGGAGATACCGGCTTTGCTTCCTTTGCAGAGTCGTCTCAAAGGTTTCAGGTATTTTTAAGATATTTGCAGATTAGATGTTTAGTCTCATCTAATCCTGGATGTTAACCTTCACCTTCTCCAATGGACATGAGGTCCATCATTTAAAGGATCAGACTTGAAAAGAAAATGGACTTGGAACAGATCCTGAGTGAAACGTGTTTAATGAATCCAGGTTGACTTTCTTAGAGGGCCTTAAACACAGATGGGAGGCGAACTGGGACAAACAATACCAGAGACAACCTGGCTACAGGGTTTAAAGATCATCTCCACCTCATCAGTGTCTCTCAGGCACAATATCGCACAGCGTCTCCACTGGTCTAAGGACAAACTGTGGACCCCAGCTCCATCCACAAAGTGTCCAAAGTTACATGGAGTTCAATCTTTGAGACCCACCAACCCCTCTGATTTCACTGCTTGGTCCGATTCCCTCTGATCCACCTCTGAATACGCGTGAATCGAACACGACTGCGTCCTCCTCTTTGCTGGCCAGAAGACAGATTCTGACCAGGTGGGAGGACCCTCGACCCCCAACATTTGGGAAGCGGATTAGAGACGTGATGAGACGATTAGGTTCAGCATCAGAGGCTGTGCTGGAAAATCCCAGGTTCCTGGCAGCCATTCATCAGTTATGTTGAGAATATGTGATATGGTTTCATGATTATGTTGTGTTTGATGTGTAGAGCCCACTGCCTGACAGTGATCTGTGCACACCCTGAGTATATATCAGTGTTTGGGGAGGGAAGCGGTGGGAGCAACGCTGCACGTTTACCTGCGTATGTTTATGTGTTTAACTGCTGGAAAAACAATAAAAAGAGCTGGATGAAAAAGAAGCTGAGTGCCCCGATGCTGAACCCGCCCACAGCATCACGCTTTTATCAGCTGACCACAAACCAGATTTAGTAATCTGTCCATTGCTGCTCAGCAGGTTTAACCACTGTAACAGCACACACTGGTCCAGGTACTGGTCCATCTAACACACACTCACAGAGACACAGACACACACATTAAATCTTGTACAACAACCAACCAAGTGTAGTTGTACTTTCTATTTCTCAGCTTTACTAAACATGTGTGGTGCGGTTATCGCTCATCAAAGTGAGTGGACTGAACTGCTTCAGCAGAAGGAGACAAACGTTTCATCTGCAGCCTGCACTGCATAAAGGTAAGCTCTAATTACACATGCACACACAGACCCACAGGAGGCAGGAGATTACACTAGCCCTGCTCCATCTGCTCAGGGAGAGGAGGGGCTTTTTATTGACCCAATTTCAACCAAAACTGCATCTGACGCGGCTGACTGGTTCTTCTCCAGGCTGGCTAACAAGCCTACAAGCAAGGCACGAGGCCCCGACTGTTTCAGGTCTGTGCATGCAGCCGCACAAATACACACATGCTGAGTGGAAGGACAGACAACCTATGAAGGCAGGCAGAGCTAGAGAGTCAGCTTTCAAAGGAGAGAGCTGCACCACACACACACACACACACACACACACACACACACACACACACACACACACACAAACACACACACAAAGACACGACACACACACGACACACGCACACAACACACACACACACACACACACACACACACACACTCCTTTGTTCTCATGTCATGATGAACAGAGCCAGTACAGTTGCCAGATAACAAGAATGCCTGCTGATACTCATTTGTGTGTGTGTGTGTGTGTGTGTGTGTGTGTGTGTGTGTGTGTGTGTGTGTGTGTGTGTGTGTTTGTTTTGCAGAGTGGGCAACTGTTGCTAGGTAACATAGCATGACTTGAGCAGTCTGTAGCCAGGAAGGAGTTGAGTGAAACAAAGATCTAACACACACACGTTCATTCATTTTAGACAACCTCTCATATCAGACGCTGTCCTTTCTTTGTTCTTTGTCTAAAAACGGTGGTAAAATAAAACGTGTCAAAACAACTATTGTCTTTATTCTTTCAGTGATATGGGAATGTTTAAGTGAGTGTTTTGATAGCGATATGGTGAGTTTGCAGTGTTAGTGATGGAAAAAAGAAGCTTAAAGCCAAGAAAAACTAGACGAAATATCTTCAACAGACTCATGAAACATGCAACATGTAGACATCAGTGCATCATGTACGATTCAAAACATTTGATCAACATTACAATTAAAAAAATGAGACTCAGACAGCATTTCTCTATTCGTATTTCCTTAAACTTCATTCTTCATGAAGATGATTCATCTGAAGGGCTCACACGGAAACAGGCTTCAAAAGTAAAGCTCCAGTGTCGTGAACCACACACTAATAACCAACGACTTCAGAGCGCACTTTATAAATGTGCCTCCAGGTTTCTGTCATGAATCACAACAAGATCAGTCCTTTTGGCAAACCATGTAAACAATGTTTCAACACAAACTCACTACTTCTACCTCATGCTTCATGACCTCCATCTCATTATTTCACCACTACTACCATGCTGTGCAAAACGCCTTAAGCATTTACATCTTTGTATTTGGCTATAGAAATGTGAGAAACTGTTAGTTATCAAAGTATGTGTCTTGCAAGTAGCCTTCAGAAAAATTACATCCATCTATCTCTCTATATAGACTAGGGATGGGTATTGATAAGATTTTCACGATTCCGATTCCATTTTCGATTCTGTTTAACGATTCGATTCTTTATCGATTCTCTTTAAAAAAAGGAGAACACTAAGGTCGATTAGCTTAGAACTTTGTTTTATATCTTCTCTTTGAACAAGATAGAAATTTAGGAGTAACATGGCCTTACAAGCCCAACAGTGAGATCTTAAGAGATCCAGCCTACGGCTCTTCAGTGGGGTGTCACAGGGTCCCCAGGAAAAAAAATTGTAAATGTAAAATAATAAAATAAATAATTCTTCTAACAAAGTATAACATAAATTGTTCTGTGGCAATTACACAAGAATATCCAGTAATGTCCCTGCCTACAATTAAACACATTCACTTACTGAAAATCATCTGCTGTGGCAAATGGGTGCAAGCCTTTTACCCCAAACTGAGTCACTGCTCGGTGACATTCGTCTATCCTGGCCTGAAAGGAGACGCTAACGGGAGACTGCAGCGAGAGCTGCCAGCATCTGAGCCAGACTCTGTCTGTCTCATCATGGTCACCTAAATGCACAGTAATGGCAGGTTTTGTAATAAGACAGATCACACTAACATAATATGCACTGTTAGTTGATTATTTACCTGCCGCATTAACGGGAGAGGACGTGCAAACGTTACCGCTGCTGCTGGGTTGAGATTCACGAGTCCGGAGCGGAATTAAAAACACGGCATTCATTTAAGGTTATCGCGTGTTTTGTGAGCAAATGCTTTTGCATATTCATAGTGTTTCCTCCCTTAAATTAAATATCTACTTTGCAAGTATTGCAAGTTGCCCTGTTGTCATCCGTTCTCGTAAAGTATAACCAAACTTTTGAGCGTTTGAGTCGCTTACGTGCCGTGTTTCCTGCCAGGTAAATGACGCTCCGCAACGTGGTGACGTCATTCGGGGCGACTGGAATCGATAAGGGAATCGTTTGCAAAAATGGCAAACAACTCCAAGGAATTGAAACAGTGGGAGCTGGTTCTCAACAAGAACCGGTTTTCGATACCCATCCCTAATATAGACACACACACACACACACACGTTCACCTTCCTTACCCCACCAACCAGTAAACTCTCCCCTCCCTCTTCTATCATGTGGCCAATAGATTTCACTAGATCTTTGAAGGCAGTCTGCAGTGAGGCTCTTTAATGAGTTCACACAGTGCTCCTGGTAGATACAGAGATGATGTAATAGCTGGATCAGAGATGCAACAGAGGGTTTAATGTGAACACAGAGAGGCTGAGCAGACAGACGTACAGCCCAGGACAACTAAGACTCTGAAGAACATCAGTCCCTGTCTCACCCTTTTAACACCGGTCTGTCTCTCTCAGTGATGCTGTCTTGCTCCCGGCTGGATCTCTCTGTGGTGTCAGATGTGTTTTCGTGTCAGAGCTGGAGGAGCTCACAGCAGAACTGTACCAAATAAATCAAAACATGTCACAGCTGGATGACGGAGCTAATAACTGCTTTTTAAAAGCTAAAATGTAACCACGTATGCCAACGAACACAAAAAATAGTTCAGCTGAAAGCCTTTATGTGCATGTGTGTTTTGTTCAAGATGGCTGATATCAGGCGCGTGTGTGCCAAGAGGCCATGTAACAGGATTGCTTCATTATTTCCTCTGCTGTTGTGTAACGCTGGCGTTTTGCTTCAGTAACAGGGTCGTGTCAGTGGAGGAGTGTGGTGGGCAGGGGGTGGAGGGTGCAGTGTGTCACTGTGGAGAAGCCAGAACAGTACAACCCTCTGTGGATGAACACAGCCGCCACGAGCTGTGTGTGTGTGTGTACTGATGGACTTTCCTACTACAGTACTGCAGAAACTTCATCTGATTTCTCTCAAACTGTGTTTAAATATTGCACCAATTTTTAAAATCTTCTGTATAATGTCTTTAAAGTGTCTCCTCTTCCACAATGTGCCAGTCCAATCACGTTTCCCTGTTTCTAACTCTGTTAACACAACACAAACTACTTTCAAGATCAGGCTTAAAACTTTCCTTTTTGCTAAAGCATATAGTTAGGGCTGGACCAGGTGACCCTGAATCCTCCCTTAGTTATGCTGCAATAGACGTAGGCTGCTGGGGATTCCCATGATGCATTGAGTTTTTCCTTTCCAGTCACCTTTCTCACTCACTATGTGTTAACAGACCTCTCTGCATTGAATCATATCTGTTATTAACCTCTGTCTCTCTTCCACAGCATGTCTTTATCCTGTCTTCCTTCTCTCACCCCAACCGGTCGCAGCAGATGGCCGCCCCTCCCTGAGCCTGGTTCTGCCGGAGGTTTCTTCCTGTTAAAAGGGAGTTTTTCCTTCCCACTGTCGCCAAAGTGCTTGCTCATAGGGGGTCATATGATTGTTGGGTTTTTCTCTGTATCTATGAAGCGCCTTGAGGCGACTTTTGTCGTGATTTGGCGCTATATAAATAAAATTGAATTGAATTGAATAACTGAGGCCAAATGCAGCTTCTGAACAGCTTCAGTCACACTGAGTGAAGCTGCGCTGGTGCTGCGAGTGCTCAGGTAGAGCAGAAACGTGCTGAATAGGAACCAGTCGATTTACCACTTAACTTATTCAAAGACAATCAACACCTTCTACTACACCAGTTTAAGAGTGGGACACTGGAAGTGTGCACAACATGTCTAAGATGTCCTCATCAAACACTGTGGACGCCACAAACTCCCTCTGTGATGTAAATGCACAGACCCTGGCCCAGTCCTCCGGGACGGTGCTGTGAAACTGACACAGGTGTTTTTCATCACAGTGGACTATCCCCACCTGCCTTAGGACATCCACGACAGTGCCAACTCCCAACATCCTGGTGTAAACTGTCTCAGGGACTACAGACCAGCGGCTCTAACAACAATAATCAAAAGCCCTGAGAGGCTGAACTACAAGTTCAGTCGACACACTCTGAAAGCATACACACTGAAAACCAACAACATAACAAATCCATGCAATACTATTCACTGTCATTTATTATTTACACAGAAACAATACTTTTACAGAACTATTATGGTCATTTTTATTTTCTTTAGTTGAGACAAAAACTAAAACCTTGACAGTTACTATTAAAACATCACAGAGTGAAAGGACACAAAGACATGGTGGCACTAACGAGCTCCAGCCAAAGCTCAGTGCAAAACCAGGAAGTAAGCATGACCTCAGCAAAGAGGCCGACACACAGGAGATGACGAGCATGACCACGACATGTTAGTGAGATTCAGCACCTTACAGTAATGTGAAATGTGCAGGTGCTCAAGTAAACCACACATCTTAAAGTTTAAATGGCCATGGGTAGTAAATACACTAGAGGGCTGCCCAGTTACTGTCACTTATGACCTCTGATCAGCTTCAAAGTGATAAAACCTATGAAGCCCATAAATCCTCTTTTGAAGCAATTAATATAAAATTATATATTATTTAAGAAGGATATATACTATAATTATATAATTAGAATATATATCCTTCTTCTTGCTTCATCTCCTTTAAGAGAAACTAAACAAAGAACAACACCTCAGCTCAGGCCTGACGGAGGAAACCACAGTTATTTCTTGGACGTGTTGAGCCCATCAAACCACAATGAAAAATAAAATCAATTTTGGCCTTACTGAGGCTTTGGGCTGTTTGCATTTCCACCCTCTGCTTTGGACAGCAGACTGAAAATTTGCATAGAAACAGGTGGATGGAAATGTGCTGTGGTTAACACGACGCTCTCTCCTGTCAGGTACATCGAAAATATTAGAGACATTTCTGTGCAATATCCTTCTGTTATTATCACTATCATCATTATTATCATCATCATCATCATCATCATCATTATCATCATCATCATCATCATCATCATTATCATTATCATCATCATTATCATTATTATCATCATCATCATTATTATTATTATCATTATTATCATTATCATCATCATCATCATTATTATCATTATCATCATCATCATCATTATTATTATTATCATTATTATCATTATCATCATCATTATTATCATTATCATCATCAT